CATCTAAAAGTCAAATTTTTTACTCTCTAACAATGTGCATAAGCTCAAATTCCTTACGAATCAGCTCTATTTTGGGATGCCCATACAAAAATTTTCAGACCTAATTCAAACGACATGAAAAACCAAATTGAATACCTTCAGTTTCTATAAAAAAGATAGCAGGCTTCTCATTGTTCCTACTAGATTTCTTGATATCCTCCACCCACTCAAACGAAGGAGGGAAAGATGATTATTTTGGTGTGTCTGAAGTGTGGACACTGGCAAGGGCAGCTGCATACGATTTGTCTGAAGCCATCTATAAGGATAGGTGCGACGTTTACGCGGTGAGATGAAGAAAGTAGATAGCAAATTACAAATCCAGAACAGGGAGCAAGGAGCGGGATGGAGGAAAGCCCCTTTGTGAACTGCAGATGAATCGAGCGAGCGAGCGGCAACTAAGAGACTCCCCTAAGCCCGACGACTTCTCGGGACAATGACGAGCAGCTGAAGAACCCCATGTTATGTTGGAGCCTGGTTCGGTCCGCCCAATCCCGCTCCCGATTTCTCCCGCTCCAGACTCCCACTCCCGATTTCTCCTGCTCCAGACTCCCGCTTCCGCCCCTTGTTTCTTAAAGCCCCGCTTCCACCCCTTGTTTCTTAAAGCGAAGCTTCGCGTCTCCTGCTCTGTCGCGATAGTTCTCGCTTCCTGTTCGCGATAAAAGGTATCACACAAGTCTCCTTCAATTTACAGCACAGCCCTTTATGTTTTTTCTTCGGTGGTTTATGCTTCCACGGAACAGAGGAAGAGAAGTACAAGGTGTAGTTCCTTGCGATAAAGAAAGAAGAAAACGAAGAAGATTGTTCTCCCTTGACTTCTTCTTGGTGGCTTGTGGCAGAAGAAAAATTGGGTTTATTTCTCTTGTAAGTTTATCTTCTTCGGTTTATCTTGGTGCAGAGAGAGAATAAGAGATAGTAATGAAGTGAGAGATTCCTCTTGTAAGTCGAGACGATCGACTGTGTAAATTCCTCGAGTAGTAAAATCTTCTGCAACTCCGTGGACGTAGGTAATTTGTCGAACCACGTAAATCTGTGTGTTCTGTTGTGTTACTGTTTCTGGTGTGAATTTTTCTCGTTCTATTTTTCACTTCATCGTCGATCGTTATATTTCAATATACCACAACAACTAGTATATATCACAACAACTGGTATCAAAGCCCGTGATTTCAGAACTGAGGAAGAATGATTGCTGCAGATTAAGTGAGGGTTTCAGGGATTGAGAAATTTGATGGCACAGATTTTGATTTATTAGAGAATGCAGATAGAGGACTAATTCTATGGGAAGAAACTTCATCTTCTGTTATTGGGGAAAAGACCTGAAAGGATGGATGAAGCTGAATGGAATTTGTTGGATCGACAAGTTTTGAGGTTTTTTCAATTAACTGTTGAGGTCTGTTGCACACAACGTCATCAATAAAAGGATGACTGCAGATCTCATGACAGTCTTATCAGGTATGTATGAAAAACCATCGACGAATAACAAGGTGTACTTGATGAAGAAGTTATTCAACTTGTTATTGGCGGAAGGTGTTTCTATTGCTCAACACCTGAATGATTTCAATACTATCACAAATCAATTGTCGTCTGTTTAAATTGATTTTGATGATAAAATACGTTAAATTGATTTTGATGATTGATGATGAGATACGTGTGCTGATATTGTTAGCATCATTGTCAAATAGTTAGGAAGTCATGAGGATGGCAGTTAGCAGTTTTGCAGGTAAATCTAAACTGAAATATGATGATATTTATGATTTGATTTTAGCTGAGGAGGTGCGCAGGAAAGATTCTAGCGAGATCTCAGGTACGAGTTCGACACTGAATGTTGATTTCAGAAGGTGATAGCAGGACAAGAACTCAAAGAGAGGGAGATTAAAATCAAAGTTTGGTCAGCAGGCAACCTGCTGGAATTGTGGCAAAGCTGACCACATAAAGAGGAACTGCATGAATCCCAAGAATATGGAAAATGATAGCGCAAATGTGGCATCTAAAGAAATACATAATGCACTATTAATGAGAGGAGAGTGGATCCAGGACACTCATTCCTATTGTTCCATAGATAGAATGAGAAGAATAACAGAGCAATGAAGAAATCTTGCAAGATGAAAGTTCGAGCAAGTGGGAGCTGACAGAACTTCCACCATGAAAGAAGGCATTACACAACAAGTGCATATACCAGGTGAAGACTAAGCTTGATGGCAGTAAGAGGTACAAAGCCAGACTTGTTAAAAAATGCTTTCAGCAAAGGTAGTGGGATATTGCCCATGCAGTAGTTGTATGCAGAGACAAGAGTAATCTAGGAAATAGCTTGAAGGTGCAAAGCTATGTGAACCCTGCTGATATGTTGGTTGACGGTGTTACTCTTGAGAAACTGAAGTTGTGCACGGCTTCAGTTGGTATTCTGGTGTGAAGATAGGGCTTTGAGTTATAGAGATGGAGGATTCATGTTTGAAAAAAAGGGCGACGTCGCCAGTGGAGGAGATCAGTTTGAGGAAGAAGACGTTGTAGTCTGTATACCGGTCTCCACATGGGAGATTTTTTTATGTCAGAGCCCGGTTCGGTCCGCCCAATCCCGCTCCCGCCTCCCACTACAGACTCCCGCTCCCGCCCCTTGTTTCGTGGAGCGAAGCCCTCGCTTCGCCCGATCGTCGCGCCTCCCTCAGCTTCGCGAAGAGTCGCGTCTCCTGCTTTGTCGCGACAATTCCTGCTTCCTGTTCGTGATAAAAGATATCGCACGGCTCTCCTTCAATTTATAGCACGGTCCTTTGTGTTTTTTCTTCGGTAGTTTCTACTTCTACGGGACAAAGGAAGAGAAATGCAAGGTGTAGTTCCAATTCTGGTGTGAAGACGGGGTTTTGAGTTATAGAGATGGAGGATTCATGTTTGAAGAAAAGGGCGACGTCGCCAGTGGAGGAGATCAGTTTGAGGAGGAAGACGTTGTAGTCTGTATACCGGTCTCCACATGGGAGATTTTTTTATGTCAGAGCCCGGTTCGGTCCGCCCAATCCCGCTCCCGCCTCCCACTACAGACTCCCGCTCCCGCCCCCCGTTTTGT